TACATGTGCTCTTCACTTCTTCCTAATCTTGTCAGAATAATTCACGATTGACTTATTCAGATTTGAGTATGGAGTTTTGTTTGCAATATGACAAATTCAGCTGTTCAGGAGCAACTCTTATTTTTCTGTAACAGAAAAAGAGAAAGGGGATTGATTCAACAGTTCATTTTGTTATACAAATCTGAGTAATGACCAAAGGGAAAACTTTAGGTTCCAGATCTGTGGACATCTTGGAAGTGAGTTTAGGGACAAGAAATCCACATATTAGGGGTCCCTTGGAACACATCTGGAAAAAGTAATGACAAACATTAATAGCCTGAGTTGAGTTTTTTATCCCCCCCACACCACCACAGATAAGAGCATTCTATTATATCAGTAGTAGCATGGATAGGGTTGATGCTTTTAATGTAATTTCTATAGCTACTTGGATCAAAATAGTCATGATCAACACAGATTCTGGGCTTTTCATCATAATCATATCTAAATGCACTAACAAGAAGCCCATAAGGAATAGCACATAACACAAAGGAACATGAGCTATTTTAATATGAAATGACAAGACAAAATAGGGAAATGGTACTGGGACTGACAAGCACAATGCCATGAGAGGTACATTTTCACAGGTGGAATTATCATTGAACAGCATTTTCCTCTTCACAATTTTCTTCAGTTCTCGAAACTGTCCTGAGATTAGTTCCTGTGGGAGGGGCAGATGAATTGCAGGCCCTGTCATTTGTTTTTGTGGCTGCTGAATCTGGAGCACTGACAAAGGCTCTCAGGAGATTAGTATTTACTGACAGCTTACCTAGGACTGAGATGGTTTTTGTCCTGACACAGTTAGCATCTGATTTTAGATTATTAACTTAAGATTATTACCAGCTCCATAGATCAACCATGGATAAACCAGCAGAAAAAAGGGTGCCTTTTAAAATTCCTTCACGAGAGAGATTTTACGTTTTTATAGAACTGTAAAAGCAAGTAGCTATTATGCTGTCACAGGAGTGTCTGTTCTTGGACATCCTACCTTAGAAAAGGTGAGGTTCAAGTGTTCAACTGATACTGCTTCTCCTAATGAGCTAATGAGCACGATTACCACTCTAGAATTATTTTTACTTAAATGTATCCAGAATTCACATGGGCTAAGGTTATGGGCTTCTGTGAAGAGGACATTAGTAACGATCTAGACTTAGATCAGGTTGGATATCTCAGGATTTCTGGTCATCTTTCCTTTTTACTGAGTATGAAAAGAAGAGGACCTTTTGAAAGAGTATTTCAGTATTCTTTTGGCTAAGCTCAATTGCTTTAAGACTACATGGAAGACACACTAGCCTTGTGTCTAATCATAGAAATACTAGATAAGAGCTGAAGGTTTCATCCCACCATTAATATGTTGGCCCCAGGGGTATGAATCATCTAGGTCACTTGCTAGATTTTGTCTTTGTCAGATGTTGGGACCACAGTGTTCTGCATCTAATTGGGTGTCTCAAAAGTCAGGGAGTTCTCAATGTTGACATTCCTCTTTCCAGGTACTAAGATTTCACTATAATTAAGTGATTAGGTTGAGGCAACCACTTAACCACTAGAGAAAAAATTACCCATTTTTCCCGAGAGGCTCTCCTTTCTTTCCTGAAGCACACACACAATTTACGTAAGTCCCTCAGGACAGATCTCCTTTCTCAGAGACAAAACTCCCACAGCAGCTGTCCTCCCTCCCAAAGTAGCATCAGAAGTACCAGAGTTACATGGAGAACTCAGACTCCAGGTCTCCAGCAGACAAGCTAGAGTGCAGGAAATGAGACTGTGCCAAGTGACCTCTGGCTCTATGGTGGCACTGGAAATTTGGTGTTTGATAGTCTACGTTCTTTCTCATGGATGCTTGGATCCAATGTTGCTTCTTCTTTCCATCTGGAGAATGTCTTAAGGCCAGGCATAGACAAAGAGTTTGGAAAGAGGAGGGCGGAAACACCACTGTTCTAGCTCTGTTGGGTCTATTAGAATTCTGCCTCCAGCCAGCAAGGATACTGAGTGATGACAACGCATGTGGACAAACTCTCTAGCCATTGGTCATCCTGGATATTCCTCTCATTGTGCTAGCCTATGGGGTGAGGGGCTATGGCTATCCTGCTGTTAGATCTAGATACTAGGAGAAAGTCCTGTTTCTCATCATCCACCTGTGTACATTTCCTTTGCATCTGTTTTTACAGCAAGCCTTAGGCCTATTGTGGGTGTAACAACACGGACCCAGAATGTTTGACCAAATCTGTTGATCCGCACACTTGGTTAGTGAGGTAGGTGATGTGTCATGTCCTATCACAGAGGACAGTAAGGCAGGGAAAGAAGTTTTCTTCCAAGGTCAGCAGGGTGAAGGAGAGCCATGCTGTGGTCCCAGTTATGGTTCTGACTTCTGGTCTCATTATCAGTCAACTCTTATATTGCAGTTTTGTTTCTGTAACCCCCATGGTCTCTAGGAACTGCTCTACAAAAAGGCTAATAAATTCAATGTAATTCACAGGATTTAGAAGAAAAAATACATAATGCAACAACAACAACATTCTGGGGATTTTGGGGGGATGAATAGCTTGAAGTTACTCCAAGGAAAGCCTGTGTTATCATTTTGCCACTTAAACAAGCCTCAGTGGTGGCTGGTGTCCCTCTAAGAGTCTATAATTGAAGATCAGATGCTATTTTTAGAATTAATTGACATCTCAGCTACATGGTCATACTTGTAACCCTTATGCTGTCTGATGAATTCAACAGAAGAGACATGAGGGATATTTCTTTGAAACATCAAATGCCTTTGGTCACTCTGGATGGAATGCTGCTCAATGAGTAAATGTTCCTCAGTGTTAAAAGCTTTTTTCTTTTTGCTCATTTGGGCATTTAGAAATATAGAGATCATAAATATTGAGTGAAAATTTAGTTTTGTTTTATGAAAAAAGCTGAAAAAAGTTATCAAGAGACAAGGATATTTTTTACAACTACCAGCAGTGTTTGAAAATCCTAAACATTGATACTATCTTACTTCATGTCTGGATACAAATTATTTCTTGACGAGATTTTGCTATTTTAAAAATGAGCAGCAAAGGAGTACTGGGTTTAGCTTTCTCAGGTCCCATCCACACTTCTGATGTCTAGAGACAGTTGATGATCTTTGAGTTGACTTGCAATTAGTGCCTCAAATCCAGTCTTTAAATTTGGCTGTATGAGGTGGTTTTTCCAAGCAACATATAGAGGTTTAATCCCCTGATTCCCATTACTTTAAGAGTGGTGACTCTAACTCCCCGTGCAGCTGACCCAGAGTTTACCCCTGCTGCCTCCAAGTGCCAATTAAATAATAAAAAACCCAAACCGTGGCCAGATGTAATTAGTCTGAAAACAGAGTTTTATAATTTTCCTTATGCCAAGCAAACAAGTTAACCTCTCAGATGACATACACAAAATAATTTCGACAAAGAAAACACAATTCTCAAATCTGAGCATTTCTTATGCTGCTTTATCCAGATTTTGCTCTTGTGGAAATAGGCAAACAGGGAAATAAACTTTGGCTCCAAATGTCTGAAAATTCACTTGATGCAGCTACTGACCAGATTTTCCCATTATATATATTAAAAACATGCCTTTGAGCCAGGCACTGGTGGCTCACGCCAGTAATCCTAGCTACTCAGGAGGCTGAGATCTGAGGATCACAGTTCAAAACCAGCCTGGGCAGGAAAGTCCATGAGACTCTTATCTCCAATAAACCGTCAGAAAACAGGAAGTGGCACTGTGGCTTAAGTGGTAGAGCGCTTGCCTTGAGCTGAAGAGCTGAGGGACAGCGCCCAAGGCCCAGAGTTCAAGCCCCATGACCAACAAAACAAAAACAAAAAGAACAAAATACCAAGACCAAAAACATGTCTTTGAAGAATCTAGTTGATTGAGGTTGCATGGAATATGTGGTACTTCTTTAAAATATTCTGATAGAAACAGGCTCCACTGTCTGTGGAAGACTACCTAAAGAGGATAGTTATCTGAAAGACAGCTGGGCATTTCTCTCTCTCTATAACACCATCACCTGAGTGGTCCCTTGAGCAAGCAACACCAAGTCCCTGATCCTGGCCCCTTTGGGATGAGGTGGTCTCCTTGGTGATGCCGATGCAGGGCTCTGCTGTACTCCTCTCCTTGGCTGTTGAGAATGCGAATGAACTGTCCATCTAGAAACAGACCCTCTCAGTATGCTCTCACTAGTCACGTGTAAACAGTGCAAAACAGTGTAGCCGGGAAAGGTGAAGGTGATCTGGGCTGGATAACATGAAGTAGTCATTTTAGTGGCTATTTCTGCTTCTGTTTGTTTTGGTTTGGGGAGAGGGAAAAGGCAGGAGATAGGAGTGAGAGAAAACAAGATGAACAAAACCCGCCTACACAGAGGCTTTAGCATGTCAATCATAGGTCTAATCATTCCATCTTCTTGAGTTCCTAATTCTTATTTTACTCAACCAAACATTGAACATGTGACTCCACCTTGTTGCTTTGAGTTGGGAAATCCTGGCACAATAGTCAGGGAATTAACTTGTGCCATTAAAGAATGTCAAACAGAACAGGGTCCCAGGTTCAACAGGCACACACGTAGTCACCAATATGAAAGTCTCAAGCTTCCTATTCAGAGTGCTCTCAGACACTAGAGTGCCTACCTTCCCCATCCCCCCCCCCGTGTGTGTGTGTGTGTGTGTGTGTGTGTGTGTGTGTGTGTATGTGTGTATTAAGACATGGAAAAGGCAAATTCTAAGCTATAGTTATATGGAAGAAAAACCTACTTTTCTTTCCATCAGACTTCGCAAAAATAATCCAAGAAGGCATTTTGGAAATGTTTGTGAGACAAGGAAGTTGCTTTTAAAGATACTGGAAAACAAATAGATAAAGGTAGCTGGAAAACAAATGCTGATGTGAGCCTATTTAAATTCTCAAGTTTCCTTGCAAAATAGTCACAGAATTGGTGGACAATTTTTTTTAAACATACAACTCAATTTCTCTCATGTACAACATAAATCATTTAATGTAACATTTGCAACCTTAGAAAGGCAGACATATTTAATCCAAGTCCATTTATAAATTCCAATTTCACATGGATTAAAAACTGCAGATAAATTAAGTCACAATAATATCCTGTACATGCATTAAGGCTGGTGACTGCTGAAGTCTCTTGGGTATCTACAAACAGGAAATCACACGCAGGTTACTGGGTCTGAAGAGCGTCTACATCATTAAAAAAATCTTGCTTTTTTTTTTTTTGGTGATACAGATTTCAACAGCAACTCTGGAAAACTGTGAAAAATGTTATTTAAAAATATATATGTATATGCTACTGCACAGTTTCAAAGATGTGGTTCATAAATAATGTTGCTGCACTGATTCGTTTTGTAACAATGACTGCACTTCCAAGGTGACATGAACACGCAGTGACGTATACTCAATATTAGGCACTAGTAATATCTGTCAGGCATACTACAGTTCCATGTTAGCTGTATTGTACATATATATTTTTAAATGTATGCATTTATACAAACTGTGTATATTATGTATGGGCGCCAGAACATCGTTGTTGGAATACTAGAATTGGTTTTAGTGCAGAAAGTCTCACTGCATTGCATTCTGTGTGTTCAGCCTAGTACGTAAGTTTTTCAACTCTTTCAGATTATTTTTCTGGTACATTCCTCTTTAGATAGTAGGTCCAAGCATCATCCATTTGCAATGTGAAAGTTTTCAGAAGCTTTTTTTCTTTTTTTAAAGAAACTTCTCTCTCTTTCTCTGTCTCTCTCTCAGCACAGTTTTGCACATGCATCTGATCTGTGTGGAGAGTGGTGCCTGATGGCAACATCTGATCTACTTGGGCTGCTCTCTTTCACAAAAAAAATCGGAGCATGTGACAGGATAGCATTCTTTTGTCAAGTTATAGCACACTAGGTCAGCTGAACTTGGGTTCAACTCCTCAGGCAAGAACGCATCCTGAGAAGTCCAAATGAGCACTGTATGTGAAAATGTGATGTTTCTGGAAGGATATATATCAAATGTGTGCTATGGTTATTTCAGCTGACTGAGACGATCAAAGTCTTAGACTTTCTGCCTCGTTTGAATTTTTAACCATAAAGAGCTATCAGTTTTATAATCAGAAAACACACAAAAAAAGTTTCAACTTGGTACCCAACTGATGAAAAGGGATGAGATATGACTGACTTTCACAAGCCATATTCAGGAGACGGTTCTGGATCCAAACAGATTATGCCGAACTCATCAAAAAGTGCAGCCCATCATGTTCTACAGATGAACTGAGAAACATGGGTAGGATCCCATGCTCTGACCATCCCCTGAAAGGACCAGTTTGTAGTTCTGTTGGAAGCGCAGGTCTTCAGCCTTATATGGGGCTTCTTAGGCAGGCTAACATGGATGCCACAATAAAGTCTGACACTTTAAGGACAGACAAGACCAGAAAACCTCTCCAGGGATGCGTGGCAGACACCTAGGGCCGGCCGACTGTTTAGGTGAGAATTCCAACTTGTCACCAGAATTCACCAAGGGTAAGTAGAACAAAGTCTCAGTTCTGCTGTACATACCTGATTCCAAGTTTCTTAAGTTAGATTCCAATTTCCAATGTAAGATGGATCCCAAACTTAGCTAACTAAGGGAGATGAAAAGAGCCTCACTTGTATAAATGGAAATGTAGACTGAGTATCCCTAAAATTCCCAAATCCCAAATGCTCCAGAATCTAGAACATTCTGGACATCAATATGATGTCCTAAGTGGTAAGTTTCACTCCTGACCTCATGTGATGAGTCTCAGCTACAATGCAGAAACAGCATATAAAATTACTTCCTGATCATGTGCCTAGGGGCATATACAACATAACTGATTTCCATTAGAGACCCATCCCCAAGATAACTCTATATTAATGTGAATGTTCCAAACTCAGAAACAAATCTGACATCTAAAACCAATTCTGGTCCCAAGTATTTTGGTTAAGGATCACTCAACTTGTACTGTTAATATTCTCATGTGCATTAAGGTCAAAGCCAAATGAGAATTTCACAAAGCTTTCATTCGCTCATTGTCAATTAATCTCAAATCACCAATTGCTCTATCATCTGCACAGTTTTGAATCAGTACTTAGAGCAGAGGAATCCCAGTCATCTTATTTGCCATCTACAGATCAGGCTGACAAAAATGTGAACATTGTATCCAAACATAAGGATGTAGTGAGCTCTACCAGCAGGGATCACACACACTTTGTATCTCTACCACCTTGAACAGTACATTGTCCCAGAGATTGTGTTACCTGTCTTTTCACACTGACCTGCTACAATCCTGTCAAGTAACTCAAGGATGTTAATTTTAGTTTTAAAGTGTGGTATGGCGCACCCTCTTTTTGCAGGAGTTGTTTCCTTCTTACCAGTATTTTTTATCCAAATACATTTAACAAGAAAACTAAATCTAGGGTATGACAAAACATTATAAAACAAATAAATGAGACAAAAACTGTAAACGAGATGTTAAAAAAACTAAAATGTAAACGTAATTCAAAAGGGAAGAAAGCAAAGAAAGGGAAAAGAAAAGAATGGAAAGGAAAAAACGAAAGAGGCAAGGGCAAGATGCAAACAGACGCATACCAGGGACCCAAGGTCTAAGCAGGGTGCTCTGGTTGCTGCTTCTCTAAACAGAATCACAAGAATTGCAGGAACAATTTCCCTTGCACTGTCAGCAGCTTATTAATGAAAGCCTGAAAAATATCTCCAAATCAAAATGAATCAAAGGCCTGTAGTACATTCTACAGCATTAGGATGGCCAAGAGCTCTCAGCCTGAGAAGCAACAGGTAGACCACTAGCAATGGACATTCTAGACAATGTCTTTATTGGCCCAAGAAAAGTGGCAAGAAAGCTACCATGGAAAGAAAAGACTTGGAACACACTGCGGTAAAGGCCACGTGGCTCTCCAGCCACAGTCACAGTGGCAGGAGGAGGAAATGAATGTGCCTGGAAGGCTTGTCACAGGTGTAGATTTCAACTTTGAACTGAGCTCCAAATAGTCATTGTTGCTTTCATGTGGGTTAAATTGACCAGATGGTGGTGCCATTTTCATATTATTTGGGCAAGGGTAAGAAGGCTTGTGGGAATTGGTGCATTTGCTTATAATGTGTTTAGCTGAGAATAATGCTGGATGGGAAGAAGGTATTGGAGGATGGGCTAGGTATTTGGTTACATGCAATCTAGTAAACATCTGGCACAAAAATAACTGACTTGTTTTCATTACTCAATTACCCATTAATACACACTGATAAAAATAATTGGGAAAGAGTATATTAATACTGAAAGTAATCAATAAGGTAAGAGCTAGGTTTCAACTTAACTGGCAGTTAAGTTTTCTGTGTGCTGCACTGCACCTGGTTAACTAACCCATGAGATTTTGGTTGGACTTTCTAAGACGTCATGATTCAGCATTGGAAAAGGAAGAAAGAGTGTGAACATGAGTGTGCATGTAATGTGGGTCTTTCCTCTCACCAGGGACCTCTCTGCTCATGTCTAGCCTGGCATGATGGAAACTAGCTAAGGAGAATGGGTTCGGAAGAGCTGTGTATCTTACACACATACACAGGCAGCTTCTCATTACACCCACACGTACAAACACACATGCCCTGGAAAAAGACCACTGTTTTGATGTGGAGGACACATTCACTGCAGTTTGATAAATGCTGTGGCTGGCAATTTCAATAGCACAGTGTCCCGAGATAGTGAGCCATCCATGGACAGGACTGAGCACCTGGCTGGAGGACGAGGTGCCTAGGACAAGTGGGTGCTATTCCTCAGCCAGTGCAGACCCTGCTGGGAGTACTGCACCAGGTGCTCCATGCTGCTGTGCAGGGTGACCGGTCCCATGAGCAAATCCAGGTCGTTGAAGAATTCTAGGGACACAGAGAGAAAGAGAGCGAGCGCTGTTAAGAGCACTGAAGATGTGTAAGGTATCTGTCCTATCTGTAAGTCAGGCCCTGAACGACTTCAGAAAGAATTCTATTCATGATCTCTATAGAAAGCAAAGGCTTTCTGATTCATCCTGTGCTTTTAGCATCTCCTTGAACAAAAGAAGGTCCCAGGGTCATCCCAAATCCAAATAAACTAACACATGAATAAATGGTACCTGCCATTTTGAATCCAAATGAATAGTGCCAAAAAACCTGTATGTTTAGACCACACTCTCGCCATACAGTAGTGCTTCCCACCCTGAATGTCAACGTGGTTTTGTCACCCTTGTTCTGTGGTCAGCTGTGGCCTGTGCTGAGCTCCTGGAATGAGTCCAAGGCATGAGGCCTCCAGGATGGCCGGGGAAATTCAGAGTCTGGAGGAGGGGAGGCATCTATCCCTACTGAGGTCAACTTCTAGCATTTGATGTTCCTCTGGGTTTGTCCTTTCATTAAACATTGACTGTTACACCAAGGTCCTCTGTAGGTGGAGGGGAGGATGCCAAGGTGGGTCATGTTTGGACTCTTCTCTACATCGCAGTTTAGTAGCTGATAGAGACAGGTTCATGTTGTCATGGGGGTGGGGAGAGACCTCACTGAATAACAGACCTAGTGTCCAAAACAAGTTTTTCCAAGATGCTAAGGTGCACACTGAATAATGTCCTGCTAGGAAAAGGCAGAGAGGGTCAGGGAAGATTCCCCATGGCAGGGGGCTGTGGGAGGGAGGGAATCTAGGCATAGGAGGAGGAGCTGCTGAGTCTGGCACTGCGCCCTCTGGTAAGAGATATTTAACAAGTGACTGGTAGTGCCACAGGGAGCTGGACTTGCTCTCCCAAAGGAGATGTGTCTATTTCCTTTCTGCTCTGTCCACTGGAGAAACCCATCTCACCCCTCTTGGCCACTCAATTTTGATGTGCTTTTCAGAATCCTCTTCTATGCTAGTTCCTCTGGCAAGATTCTCCTCATGGCCTGGAACCTCAGTTGGGCTTTTAGGATGTACCACCTTCAGGGACTCAGAATCCATCTGGGCCATCCACTCTGTGTTATCACAGGCACGCATAATTATCATTGCATGGCCTGGGGGTGAGCTGATTTGCTGGTGTGGAAGGACAGTAATAATGCTGCATAATGGTTCAGAAGAAAATAAAAAAGGTAAGATCAAGATGCAGAAAAAGCATCTATAACCTCTTCACCCCAAAATTCTCTATTTTTGTTTCCTGGTGGTCCTGAGGATTGAGTGCATAATTGACAGTCAAGTGCTCTACCTTTCTCTCCAATTCTACTTCAGTAACTCCCAAGAATGCCATCAGACATATCAACATGAAGTTTGCATGAAAATACTCATTACCCAACTTATGAAATGGAAACCCCTCTGTATAACAGCTTAATAATAACAATAAAATCATATTTCAAAAAAGAATCAGGAGGAATAAAAATGATGATGTGTTTACTAACATGGAAAGAAGGCTCAGGATGTGGCTCAGTGGTAGAGAGTGTTAACATGTGTGAGATCCTGGATTCAATAACAATCAACATATAAAGAAAAGACTTAGCTGTGTCTCCTGAAATGAAAAGTGTATAGTGTACATGTGGTGCAGGTGTGTATATTTATATGTAGTGTAATCCAGTGTGCATTTTCTTTTTTTTCTTTTTTTGGGGGGGAGGGTCTGGTCGTGGGGCCTGAACTCTGGGCCTGGACACTGTCCCTCAGCTCTTCAGCTCAAGGCTAGCGCTCTACCACTTGAGCCACAGCGCCACTTCTGGCTTTTTTCTTTTTGCTTATGTGGTG